AATCTTGCATGTATGTAGCTGCCCATACTTAGTGCACCATCTAAGCCGATATGATGGGCCACTAATGCACAAAGCTTTGCTATGATGCAACTACTGTAAAATGACTAATTTTCACTGGGTTTAAATTTCACTGATTTACCATTTCAGGCATATTCATTGGGTTTTAAATTGACAGTTTCGTCATTTAGATAATGTGTTCTATGCTAAATTTTACATATTAACTGGGTTTTAATTAATAGCACATTTTCCAGTCAGCTAAATTAAAACCCAGTGAATAATTACCCCCTTTACAGTATTTAACTTACTGCCACACCAGTCGCGCAACAGAAAATTGTACACTTGAATCTCCCTATAGTTACAGAATATGTAATTTGATAAAAGGATCAAAATTCACATTTTCTATTCAAAGTGTAAAAACAAAGAAAATCCAAGGCTATAACAATTTTCTTTGTGTCTTAAGGGACGATGTCAAAAGATCGATGTCTGTTAAAAAACTTAATTCCTTTAGTTTTTTTCCAAACCCCCCTACCCCCCACTGAAACTTAATTGATAAATATTGGTCATGGCGTCAGACTATATTCACCATTAAATACAAATTGATAATCGGACAGTAGTATTGCATAGCAGTTGGTTGTCGGGTGGGTGTAAAAAGATTTTACAAATGCACCTAATTTGACGCACAGATTTACACTCGAACCAAACCATTTTTCTGTTTTTTTCCCTTTTCGGTTATTTCTGTCCATGATTGGATAGAAAAAACAAACAAACTACAAATACTCCAAGATTTTTTTGACTTCATTAAAAAATAAAATCGTTTTTGTAGGATGGAAACTTTTTGAGGTCAAAACTCCCCACCCCCAAACTAAAGGAAACAAGTTTTTTATCCGACATTGATCTTTTGACGTCGTCCCTAAGTCACCTATACAGTCACAATTTAATTTTGTTCTTGAAGACTACTTCTCTTCAGTCAATAATGTAACTCAATTTTATTTTGGGGGGATTTTTATTTTGACTGCCTACAATATACATGTATATTATCATGCCTGTTAGAGGGCACACTTCAAATAATGCTATTTTCAATTTTAAAAACTAGATTTATTTATTTTTTCAACACAATATGAGGTTTAGTGTATTCCTAAAATATTTTTTAATAAAGTACTACCAGTAGTTTTGTTTTAAATGACAGCTTTAAGTTCAAGTAGTATATTTCTTCTCAACGTTGTTTTTATGTTTGTTTTTTTTTCATTTACACAGGGAGTTGATATGATTGAATTTGATGTATTGCTAACCAAAGATCGGATACCTGTAGTATTCCATGATTTCAGTGTCTATCTCAATATGAAAAAGGTAATGCACTTTCATTTTAGTACAGGCACAGAGTATGTTCAGTTTGGGTAGGTTTCAAGTTATTTGCAGAGCCCTCTTTGCCTTTGCGTGTAAAATTGCAAAGCTTGAAATTCACTGAGGATATGGAGGCAATTGCTTATACATCCAACTTGAATACTCTGATGCCTTTCAAAAGATTCAAATATTTCATTAGCATTCAACAAAACATGTTAATAAAGCAAAAAATGTTCCTTCCCCGCCCCCAAAACAGTTAGTTTGACTTTATTTTTCCATGTCAAACCTGCTACCTTTAATTTGTAATGCTTCCTTTGATTATACTTAAAGCGGCAGGGTCGTCACCTGTGCATGCGTGGGAATTGAGTCCCAAGCGACGATAACAACACACGCTAAAAGCGCAAATGCTCATGGATAGACGCTTGTTTGTAAACAATGTTATTCAGTGGTTGATTTAGAAATGGCCACCTGGCATGCACACCAACTAAAACAGCCATTACTCGTATAATGCAGTGTGATTATAATGTCATTGTAAAAGTACAGCCACTCAAATACAAATTCTGCATTCCAATATTTGCTCAAAAATGAAAGGTGAGCATTAATAACATTTATTGCTTGAAAAACCAGCTATTTATTCAGTCTCTTGTCATCTTCAGAAATTAGCATCTGAAGACAGTGTTGAGTTGTTTGAAGTTCCTATAAGCGAGTTGACTCTGGACCAGTTACACCTTCTGCGGGTAAGTCAAGGTATATGTTGGAGCATAGGGTCTATGATTGCAAAGATTTATGGTCAATTACTGTGGAATACTTTATTTTCGCTTGGAATTAATTTTCGCTGAAGGAATAATTCAGTGAAAATAAAATCCAGCGAATATACCTTTTTTTCTATCTTTTACATTCAACTGACTAAAAATCAGTGAAAATAATTTCCATACAACACACCTAAAAAGTTATTTCACCGAAAGATAATTCCAGTGAAAATAAAGTATTTTACAGTACTTCAATTTTGTGAAATGTAATCATGAATTCCTATGATTGAAATACCAGTAATAATTAATATTGATAAGTTTATGTTTTATCCTATATAATGTGTACATGTAGTAATCGTAACAAGAGATCAGATTGATATAGACTGCAACAGTAGCATCACAACAGCAATATGGATTTTTTCTAAAGAGGCAACAATGTTATTGTTTCTTAGTTTGATGTTTAAAAATAAATACAAAATAAATAACTGAAAAGAAATAATAAAACAATCCACAAAAACAAAACAACTGACAAGTACCATACACTACATCATATCATATCAGTAAGAGAATGATATAAACTCTATGGTATACATGTTAGATGTTTTGAAAAAATTTAGCTTATGCTGCTTTACATGTGGTACTCGCCATGTATAATTCGGAGTCGTATATTATGCTTAATTGAATATAAGAAAAGTTTAAGTGACTGATAGCAATAATCAACATTTTCACACACTTTAATACAGACATTCTAAGCAGTCATTTTCCTTATTTTGTTTCATTCACTGCAGGTAAGCCATTCCAGCCGAGCCAACCATCCACAGGGTATGTATAACTCTTAGTATTTAGTTATAATTATAATATATAAACATGAAATAGGATGGCTTGCGCAGGACCGTGATGGCTTGAGGAGATATGTTGGCGCCTTATGCTCCACCCGGAGTGAAGAGGAGTAACTAATAATATATAAACATACATAGTTATTTGACATTTATTGAATAGCTAAAAGAATTGCATTATTTATAAGTATATAAATGTATGCAAAATGGCATAGCAAGTGTATTTTCTCTATTAGCATTTCTACTAAAGTGACATAAGTGCTTTTGTTGTCAAAAAAGTCATATTTTACTAATGTTTAACAGCTTTTACTTTTAGTTACTAATTAATTAATTAATTAATTTTGTCTGTATGCCATGAGTGCATGATTTGACCAGATATTTGACCATGGCCTTTATTTAGGCTTTAAGAAAGCATTTTATTGAATCAGTTCCATTTCATAATTATTTTCTGTTTTTGCTGACAATAGATGGTCCGGATGATGAAGACAACCCAGATTTGCAGCCATTTCCAACCTTGAGAAAGGTAAATGTTTATATCAAGTATATCTATAATGACTCCTCTTTTCATGATTGTATGTACCTGAGTTGAATTGGGTTGTTTGCAAATGTCATCAAGTTTGGTGCATCCCTGCAACCACCTCGTACATCTACATTTTGTCATCTCAATTGGTTACTTCAAATGATAGATATGTTTGCATAATGCAGATAAGCTAAATAATAATATTGCTTGCATGTGCTACTTGTATACACCTAATAAATATATTGTAAAAGAGACACCTGTCTGCTCATTAGTATTAATCAGTATTTTCTTCCCAAGCATGCTGTTTTTTGCTGAAATGTTCAGTATGTATGAGATGGTTGCAGGAATGCACTGAAATGCCTGCCTGAACTTTCAATAGAGACCATAGTGGTTATTGATACGTTAATTTTCTATAGTTATAATATGCACACTGTAAACTATCTAATTTTAACTGCTAGAAATTTTCCTAATTTCAAGATTTTTACTGCATTCATGGAGAGAAAAAAATGTTGCAAAAGTGTGTTGTAAATCCCTTTGCAAAATGAAAGTTGTTTACAGTATGTCAATGATATATACTGTTATGCTTAAGTATGGTGATGGTGAAAATATTGTTATATTCTGCCTGGATTCCCAAACATGCAATGTTCTATTTGGGAGAGTGGCATCCTATAAGATTGTGAAAACTATCAGGCCCATGTACTGTTCCTGTTGTGTAAATTAACCCTTTGAACGCCAACTTTTCTATATTTTTTTCACAAATCGGGATCAAGACTTTGTAATCAGTGGGGAAATTCTGCCACTTTGGTCTTAAATTAGTAAAGAGATTAGTGATACATATTAAAATGTTCAGAAGCTTGAAGTGCCATGTATTATCACCAAGAGTAGCAAATTTTCAACAGAATGATTGGCTTTTTTCTCCCATGCCAGCCTTCACAAGAGCTGGGACTACCAGATATCTTTATTATGTTCTTTCAGTAACGAATAAATTGATAAAATAAATAAATAATTAAAATAACTTATTCAAGGTCAGTAGTCAACAGCATTCAGGTCAGCAAAAAATGGTTGAACAAATATATGTATGAAATACTTGAGAATGATACAAAATTTATGTATATGGCTGTAATAAGGTATATATAATATTTCATAACAGTACGTTTATGAACATTGCACAACAGACATCGGCCTGCAGCATGGTCATGACTTAAGCATGACTGTAAATGTAAAGAACAACTGATGGTGTTGTTCAAGTCAGTATAATATCATTTACAGTGCACATGGTTGGCATAATCTCATTTACAGTGCACATAGTAGGCATAATCTAATTTACAGTGTACATGGTTGACAGTCTAATTTACAGCATACATAGTTGCATAGTCTAATTTACAGCATACATAGTTGCATAGTCTAATTTACAGTGTACATAGTTGCATAGTCTAATTTACAGCATACATAGTTGCATAGTCTAATTTACAGTGTACATAGTTGCATAGTCTAATTTACAGCACACACAGTTGCATAGTCTAATTTACAGCATACATAGTTGCATAGTCTAATTTACAGCACACACAGTTGCATAGTCTAATTTACAGCATACATAGTTGCATAGTCTAATTTACAGTGTACATAGTTGCATAGTCTAATTTACAGTGTACATAGTTGCATAGTCTAATTTACAGTGTACATAGTTGCATAGTCTAATTTACAGTGTACATAGTTGCATAGTCTAATTTACAGCATACATAGTTGCATAGTCTAATTTACAGCACACACAGTTGCATAGTCTAATTTACAGCATACATAGTTGCATAGTCTAATTTACAGTGTACATAGTTGCATAGTCTAATTTACAGTGTACATAGTTGCATAGTCTAATTTACAGTGTACACAGTTGCATAGTCTAATTTACAGCATACATAGTTGCATAGTCTAATTTACAGTGTACATAGTTGCATAGTCTAATTTACAGCATACATAGTTGCATAGTCTAATTTACAGTGTACATAGTTGCATAGTCTAATTTGCAGTGTACATAGTTGCATAGTCTAATTTGCAGTGTACATAGTTGCATAGTCTAATTTACAGTGTACATAGTTGCATAATCTAATTTACAGTGTACATAGTTGGCACAATCTCATTGACAGTGTACATAGTTGGCACAATTTCATTGACAGTGTACGTAGT